AGCTTATAAAAACAGGACATAATGTATTTTTGATAGATTTATGAGAAATAAAATTTATATAAATCAGAATCATTGAAACTATAAGTGAGAGAGTCCTAGGCAAAATTTAGTCAACTGGTTACAAGCTACAACTAGGACTAGTATCACACTAAAAATCTTTCATTTAAAGGAAAACACGTTCGCCCACCCTCTTATGCATGGTATTATGTTTTAAGACAAAAATAACTTTATAATTATAGTGTTAACATTCAACATTATTTACTTACATGCAAACATTTTTATTATTATTTTGTAATATAAGTCAATATCATTTATGAAATTATATCCCTTCTAATCAGTAAAAACACGTTCGCCCACCCTCTTGCAAAATCTTTCCACTCCCCCTAATTGATCATTAGGATGTAAAGGAGCATTCCAATCATTAACCAATACACCCACATATTTAAGATCATCAAACCACATATTTTGAACCATCAAATTAAAACATTCCATATAAATCAACAAAAGCTCTAACCAAGCATGTCATAGACCTCTTTTATCGCGGAACCATAAAATCAATGTCCGCAATATCACAATGCAAGATAATATTAAAAATGCTTCATAAAATTCAAATTAAGAGATGAATCTCATAATTATAATGTTAAAATTCATACACATCATCCAAGGATCATTAATAAAATAAACAAAATAAATTACCCTAAGGTGATTGCCTACTAATTCTAGCTAGTAGTGCTACCATACATAAAAAAATTAAGTTGTATATACACATTGTTAGAGGAGTTTGAGCAAAATCTTCATAATGACATCAAAATAATAATTCCAAAAGCACTAGATCTTGCTAGAACAATTAGCAAAAGAGCTATTAAAACCCAATCAAAATTGAACACGTAACAATATGTTTGCAAAAAAATAATAATATTAATAGGACTAATAATTGAATATTATGATCAATACTTCATAAATTTTGTGCTCTAATAACTAAAAGTTCATTTCCGACAAGAACATTAAAAATAAAAAATTTAGATTTCATTTGTGATAATTTTATTATTTTTTAAATAATTTTTTAGTTCAAAAAATTTGAGCTCAAAAAATATTTGTACTAAAAAATTACTTTCAAAAGCAATAATAAAATTGTCTAAGAAAAATAATCTTAAATTAAGATGAACGGAAGATTGAGACATTGCTATCCAATGAAGAGTTTCAAATTAAAATTATTATTTTTTATATATTTTATCTTTTAAACATTAACAAAAAATTCATAATTGTCTTAAGATCACCGACTGATTAGCTTTTATAAAGAGAATGAGGACATTGAAACTCAGCCACCCTTACCAAAATCTCAAAAATTTACAAGGTAGTAAGAACATCAAACAAAAATTTGACTATAATCCTCAGTGCTCCGAAAAATTATTAGGTCCGGCCATCAAACTTAGAAATAGGTCCGGATATCCACTAAAAATTTTACGTGTGGAATGTACACGTGTCTGCAGAATTTTAAGTCAAGTGCATCAAAAGTGTAGGTACAGCACAGTCAAAGCGCACCCAAAGCGTAGTCAAAGCGTAGTCCATATGGCAACTTTTTAGTGGATGTCCAAACCTATTTTCTAGATCCGGTGACCTTACTTAATAATTTGCCCAGTACTTGAGAGTACATTATGTATATGCTTTGGATTATTTAATTCTCATAAAATCTTCCTTAAATATCTGCAAGAACTTGTAATTCTTAAATTGGTTTTTTATTTTTGTTTTAAATGCTTCAAGTATTCGGTATCTGGTTAATAGCGGGTCCAATGCTGGTAAGTTTGTTCAAAAGAGTTTTTTTTTTTTTTTTAATAAATCTTCTACTATAGTTTTAAATAAATTTTTATTCTTATATACTAAAAAAATGCTTGACAATCTTTTTTTTTTATTGATTATATCATGACAACAGCACAGACGAAAATTTTAAGTATACCTTTTTTGGGGGGACATTTAGGGGTTGTTTGGTTACTTTGGTAGCACTCAATATTTAATTTAAATAGGATTTTGTAAATCCTCTAAATTCTGATTTCGAAAATCACGAAAAATATTTGGTAAGATTCATGGTAAATCTTATTAAATCTCGTATGATTGTTTGACTATAGAGCGGATTTAACAAGCGGACTTTTCCTCTGAAGCCAATAGATTTCGTAAATCCCACAAAAAATAGGATTTTGGAAATCCAAGATTTAGAATGAAAATGTGGAATTTTCCGTCTATGCCGGCTTTCATTTGTCGTGATATTTTATTTTGCATTTTAGGTCATTTCTCTGGATTGCGCTCAAATCCGTTTCAAATATGGCATAAATACTGCTACCAAACAGCCATTTAGATAGGAGTGTTAATATTGGTCACGGCAAAAAAATCCGACAGAAAAATTTCGGGTTTGGGTTGACTGACCCGAACATGATGCGGGTCGGGTTCGGGTCCATAAAATAGACCCGTTTGCAAAAACGGGCCAGGTTCGGTTGACTAGGAAACCTGGGAATGACCCGGAAAAACCTGTATACCCGTTCTGACCGCTCCTGCCTGTGTTGCCTACCCTACCTGTCCACCGGTTCTGGCTGCCCGGTTTGCTTTCCTGTCCCGGCTGCCCGGTCTATATGCATAGCACGCGTAGCTTGCCAGTGTGGTCGCGCGCATCGAGCCGCAACCTTTGATGCGTGTGACGCACGTCGCATAGCTGCATCGCATGCCGCGCCATCGCCAACGACTGTATCGAGCCGATCGCTACCCCACCTGTCCCACTTCTCGCTGCAACTACTGAACGTCGCTGCCGGCTGCAACTGTCGAACGTCGCTCCCCGCTGCAGCTTCTGAACGCCCCGTCTGTCTTGCTACCGGCTACCTCAGCAGAAACGAGTAGGGTTTGGGTCCGAAAAACCGACCCGTATGCAAAACCAGGTTGGGTTCATGTTGACCCGAATAATGTCGGGTCAGTTCCATGTTCAATCAGAACCCGACCCATAACCCGAAATTGACACCCCTACCTTTAGATCAATTAAGGCAAAATCATATACACATCATATCCGTATGACTCGAACCCAAAATAGTTAAATTAGTTGCCAAAACTCCCAACGAATAGACCAAGTTGAATTACATGCATTAAAAATGCCTTCACATGTCTTTATCTATTTGGGCCAATATATCATTATTATGAGAGATTTTATGTGCGCGGTTTAAGGTATAAATTAATTTAATTTATATATTATCGTAATATGATTTCATTTTAACAGACTCACTGTGGATGAGTGGATCTCATTTTAACTTTAAAAGATCCAAAGAATACAATTTTTTTTTTTTTGGGGAAATTAAAGAATACAAATTTTCACATTATATAATTTATTTATCGTACAATAACACAATCAATGTGGCATCAATCTGAACGTTTGACAAAATTTCAAGCAATGATATGGACAACACTCATGCAATGTAGCTGGCACCATTAAATTCTGGTCTTTTTTTTTTTTAATGGGGTAATTTTTAGTTAGGTAGGTGTTGAGGACAGCACTATTCTGAGCACTTGAACAGCACCGCCGCAGGCAAGCAAAGCTGAACACCGCTAGCTGGAATGACCCAAAGCTTTTTGTCCCTTACAGCTAAAGCATTGGCTTCAAGGGAACATTTTTCTGAATAAAATTTGTGACTGTGAAGAGAGAGAGAGAGAGAGATAAAAGAAAAGTCTATCGATTTCAATCAAACTATCATATCACTAAGAAAAAATAAAGATAAAACTTAAAGATGTTTTCTTCTCCTCTTTTATGTTTCAAAAGGCCACTGCAATATTGAATTTAATCATTTGTTTAAAGTTTTATTACATTTTATTCAAAAATTATAATTATAATTATATTTTTTATAACACATGTTGTTGCGTGGTAAAAAAATTGATTTATTAAAGTGCAAGTTTTACATATCAATGTTGTATAAAAATTCAGTAGTTAATTACGATAAAGTTATAAGATCAGAAAAATTTTTCATATGATAAACTCAAAAAAGAAAAAAAAACTATAGGGACTGCTGGGTTTGAAAATTCACTATATAGTAGAAGATGTAAGAATCTTTCTCCTTTTCCTCATAGTTGAAGAAGATGAGATTAATTAAGATCAAATATCTTATTTTTTCTTCGGGAATATAGAAATTAAGTCTATGGATATATAGAACAGCAGAGCTTGATTTCTCATGTAGAAATTACAAAACTCTGATATCTAAAGGCAAACAATTAATATCCAACTATATGAATAAATCTTGAAAGTAGTCTGAAGATGCTAGCGATTATTAGAGATGGTCGTCGTCATCATAGTTGTTAATGACGATAGCTAGTGGCGGTCATCAAATATATTAGCAAGAAAATTCTAGAGAGCTATTTAGTTCTCATAGCTATTGAGCCTCTAGCTCCCTAGATAATGGTACTATATTTATAGCTAGGATCATTAGACGAACATTTTAGCAAGGAACCATAATTCAAAAATGTCATCATATAGTCCATATTGATTCCCTTTTTTTATTAAGTATTCTTTCAACACCCAAGTGTCTTAATGATGTCAAAATTAAGTGATTTTGGACTCGTTGGATTCATGTCGTCGAGCCGCTCGATTCAACTATAAGCATGTCAAATTTGAAATTTAGATGATCATAATTTTAAACAAAGATAATTTCTAATAACAAATATATATTGCACTAAAAGTTTCATTAAAATTTATTTATTATTTTAATAAAATATAATTAATAATTAGACTTATAATAATTAATTAATTAATTAATTACTACTATTTAATTAAATATTGTTTACACTACTAATTACCTAAATAAGAATCTACATTTTACTTTGTATTAATTAAGTTTTTTTAAATTAATGTCTATTAAGAAATTAAGAATTAATCTAATCCTCATAGCGGGTTGGCTTTCGGATTCTTCGTGGGTAATTAAGTTTTTTTTAAATTAATGTCTATGAAGTAATTAAGAAATAATCTAATCCTCATAGCGGGTTCGCTTTCGGATTCTTCGTGCCCGTTCGTGTCAGGTAGAGCTTCGCCGTTCGGCTTTGCTGGTACGCGGGGGTAGAGCTTCGAACAAGTCGCTTGCCATTGCCTGCCTAGGGTTTGCTTTTCCCTTCTGCATGAAGCTTCTCCGCCTCCTCCTCCGACGTTGTTCCTGTCGGATCCGAAGTCGCGCCGGGAGCTCGCCGCAAAGGTAACGATATTTCTGCCCTTTCGCGCGCTTCTTCGATCGGGTTAACGAAATCCGCAAAAAAGGCGGAAGAGCTCGCTGGCTGTGAATGCAACTTTCTACCTTTCGCGCGCTTCTTTCAGGCAAATCCCATAAATCCGCCGAACCGAGGGATTTAGTAAATCCGGGATTTAAGCCATAAATCCGTAAATCCGGGATTTAGCCATCGCCAGGATTTAACGTGCGCACAAAAACCGTTTGGCTGGATTTAGTGTAAATCCAACTTAAATCCCGCTGTAAATCCGATACCAAACAGCCCCTTAGGGTTATGATTTGCGGCGAGCTCCTCCGCCTTGTGCGATCGATTCAGGAACTTCCCTTTTAGCGGACACGACGGCCACGATTCCATTGATTGTCTCTCCCATCGTGCGCAAGTTCGCCCTCTCCAAATTGTGCGGACATTCTTTGTTATTTGGCTCTTTCGGTCTCTCACTCTCAAGTAAGTTCTCTCCTCTTGATTTCTTCACTATTCCCTCTCGCGTTCATGCTTCTGAGTTGCATCTAGTTCTCAAGAAAATTGGTAACAATTTTTATTTTACAATCCTTTTGGCTTATTTCCTTTCTTTAGTTAAATTTCGTAACTTCGAACACATTGTTCCTGATTTGTTTAAAGTTTCTTCATTGCACAAATGCAGCTTTAAAAGCTTATACAAATTGGATGGCATCTACATTGCCATTAAATTTTTTGTTGCCTTGACAACAAAGTGTTTTAAATGAGAGAGAATTTGATATGAAAATGACTTATCTATCTTTTATATAAAATTTGAAGAGCATTTGAAGAAGGGTAGAAGGTTAGTCATTTACTTATTATTTTCTATGTGATAAATTTCTTTAGGTTAAAGCATGAATAAAAATTGAATAAATCTCTACGAAAGAAGTTTATGACAATACAAAGATGGAATAATTACATTATTAAATTTGTTCGTTAAAATAATCCTTAGGAGTAGATTCGGTGTTCATGTCAATACTGAATATATATATATATATATATATATATATATAATTGGACTTATAATATTGTATAGTGTAATTTACTCATTAATTGAATGTAAACTTGATAAAATATTTGAATGATTTTAATAACACATATGAAGAGGTTGATGAGATGCAAGAAATTTAAGAGGATGTGCAAGGGGAACTTTTATAAACTCAAACACTCATAGTACACCAATGGTGTTTGGTGATAATATTGTCGACAAAGATGAAACAATTATATTTGATAGACTGTTGAAGGACTTACAATGTGATTTGTGCCCTGATTCATTATATATTTTATAGGCTGTTGAAGGGTGCACAATATGGTTTGTACCCTGATTCATAGTTATTTATGTTTTATGCTCTTGTAAAGTTATTACATATTAAAGTAATTAATCATTGTACAAATAAATCATTCAACAAAAGAAGATAAAACTAGCACCCTCTTTTCTTTAAATTTCAAAATTTCATCTAATATTAAAAATTTGAATAAAATCCCATTTTTTTTGCTTTTATTAAATTTCCAATGATTTGACGGTTTAAAATCATGAATACATAATTTTGATAGTTTAAGAAAATGGCACGTGTTAAGTTTATAAATAGATAAAATCTGAATATTATGTTATGTAATTTCTTAAAAAACTTTCAAATAAAATACGAGGAGACAATGAGCATTTTTAGAATTAGGATTTAATATAACAGAATATCTACACCCTTATGGAGTTCTTGAATCTACATATTTATATACAAACCTTACCCTTGCTTTCTTGTATGTGGAGAGGTTGGTTCTAATGATTTTTAGGGATAAGGTTTTTGTGTGATTTGTTGTCAAATGGGTGATGGCATGTACTAAACCTATACACTACTGAAACGCTTCTTGGATGGATCAAACTTTTTTGAACGGCAAAGTGAAGCGCTAGTTTAACAACCTGGCTTCACTCCTTTGCCTTTTCTTTTGCTCTAGCCCTGCTCTTGTCAGCTAGGTTTCTCCTGACATTACCAACGAAGCCTACCTTTTTTTAGATTCTAAAAAGGCATCTAGTCTTTTGCAAAATGGAATGGAGGTTTCATTTCAATCCGACCTTAATTTGCAGGTACAATGAGGCCTCGACGGGAGGGTCACTCCTACTTACTTTAGAATAGAAATAGAGAAAGAAGTGGGATTCTAAGTCATCTTTTGTCTTTCCACCAATGAAAAATAGAATACTTATAACAATGTGATAATTTTTTTTCTAATGGTCCATAACTCGCTAATTGATGCCAGATGAGTGGAGAATGAGTGTGTTGATTCATATTTTTAAGAATAAAGGTGATGCACAAGATTGTGCGAATTATATAGAGGAATTAAGTTAATGTGTCATACTTTAAAACTATGGGAGAGAGTTATGGAGCATAGGTTGCGGCGTGACACTAATGTTTCTCAAAATCAAATTTGATTCATGCCAGGTAAGTCTATTATGGAAGTATTCATTTATTGAGAGGTTTTATGGAGAAGTATAAAGAGAACACGGAGGATCTACATATAATTTTTATTGATTTATAGAAAGCATATGATAAATTTTCAAGAGAAGTGCTATGAAACTATACATTAGAAAAAGGGTTAAATATGCTTATATTCAAATCATTAAGGATATGTATGCAGGAGCTATTACTTGTGTTCAAACACAAGGTGGTTTGACCAAGTATTTTCTTATTTCAGTTGGATTACATCAAGGATAAGCCATAAGTCCATATCTTTTTGTTTTAGTCATGGATGTTCTCACTAGACATTTGCAAGAGGTTGTACCCTGGTGTATGTTTTTTGTTGATGATATTCTTCTTGTTGATAAGATTAGAGATGTAGTTGAAAGTAAACTTGAATTTTGGAGGTCAACCTTAGAGTCTAAATGCTTTCGTTTGAGTAGATCTAAAACTGAATATTTGGAGTGCAATTTTAGTAATAATAGATCTAGTGGGGGGATTGTGACTTTGGGTGATCAAGTCAATAAGTGTACACATTTTAGATATCTTGGGTCTATTGTTCAGAGTGATGGTGAAATAGATGAGATTTTATTAGTAGAATTCAAGTTGGATGGTTGAAGTGGAGGAAGGCATCGGGCTTGTTGTGTTATAGAAAAGTCCCTCTCAAACTTAAGGGAAAATTATATAAGGTGATAGTGAAACCTGCAATGCTTTATGGTGCAGAATTTTGGCCATTACAAGAGAAGCATAATATTAAGTTAAGTGTTGCAGATGAGGATGTTCAGGTGGATGAGTGGCTTTCCTCTTAGAGACAAGATATAAAAGGAGCACATACTTGAAAAAGGTTGGAGTAGCTCCAGTGGAAGATAAAATTAGAGAGAGTCGCCTTAGATGGTTTGTTCACATAAAACGATGGCCTTCCGATGAGCCGGTTAGGAAAATAGATGTATTAGATTTGATTTATTTTAATAAAGGTAGAGGAAAACCTAAAAAGACTTTGTTAAAAATATTAGAAATATCTTTCTTTATTAGATTTATATGAGAATTTGACTCATAGCAGGACATAATGGAGAAAAATAATTTATGTAGCCGACTACACATAGTGAGATAAAGGCTTGTTGTTGTTGTTGTGGTGGTGGTGGTGGTGGTGGTGCATACTTTTTTGGCTCTTATTGTTTATTTCATGAATTCATGGCATTGTGTATCCAATATGTGCATGAGGTTTCACGTAAACTTGTTCAAAGTTAAAAAACTTTGCTTATAACATGTCTTATCATGCTTACGTATGATACATAACAACCTTATATTGACAACATTTGGTGTTTTTGATATTTAATGGGTTATGGAGATTAATATCAATAATTTGGCACAATATTGAAGTAGAATTAGTGATATAATTGGGTGGGCTAGCTAAGTTCTATTAAGTAGAGCATTAGGGGTTGGCACGAATAAGATTCAAATATGGTTGTAACATTTAATATGATATCTAATATATTTTAGGTTTTAATGTGAAGAAGGTTTGAACAATATTTTATTGTGTATGTTCATAACTTGTTCATTATTTTTAATTAAGGTAAATGTTTGAACAATATTTTATTGTGTATGTTCATAACTTGTTCATTATTTTTAATCTAGGGTTTTCCTTTAATCTCTTTCGTAATCGATAACTATCAATGATGAATATATTTAATCTTAAATAACCAAAAGTATAAAATCATTAACCTTGAATTGGGGTTTTAAATAAATCAAGTCCAGTTGAGAAAGTACTGGATCAAGCTCGTGCTTGTTCAGAAAAAAAAAAATCAAACTTGAGCTTAAGCTGGCGCTCATTTGACTCTTTGTGGTAGTGTTGAAACATTATATATTTAAAATTATAGTTATTTGAGCTTAGCTTGAGCTTTGTTTGTTTGATAAACAAATGAGTCCTATTAAGTTTATTAACAAGAAACAATTTCGAGCAACTTATCGGTTATTTAAACAAGTTTTATCTAGCTTATTAAAGAGCAACTTATTAAATGAGCTACAAAGAAGCATAAATAAGTAGTTTGTGTTCATAAATAATCGCAATCTAACATGGAAAATATTTAGACTATCAAATAATAACATATTAAATAAAATTGGAATTAAGTCTTAGTGAGCATATTAGCAAACCTTAATTAAGATTCTTTATGAAATTGTTCACGAGCTTTAAATGATATTGTTCATGATCATAAACGAATGAGCATTGAGTTGTTCAAACATATTCATTTAGCAACTGAGTGTTTATAGAAATGTTCAAGCTCATTCAATAGTTAATTAAATAATCAGGAATGAGCACTAATAGTGCCAAGCTAATAATAGCTTATCAAGCATATTCATTCATTTGCATCTTTGCCTCCGAATAAAAGCGCTTGGAACATAGAGTTCATCAATGTGATTTTTTTTGTATGGAGCCAAAAGCCCTCAAAAGAGTGACACTCGAGCATCTTTATTGTTTGAAAATTCTATCTCTTAGGTTGAGAGTTATAATATTTTTATAATATATTGAAATAAACTTTCAGTCATATTTCTCATAACAGATATTTGACTTTCATGCGGCATATAAAATAAAATTCCCTCTTAAATTTATATATCAACTCTTGGAAGGGCCGGTCCTACTCCTAGTGGAACCGGTCACGCGACATTTGCTTAACTGGGACTAATCATCACTCATAATAGTCTCCATAATGGTGTTTGAAATGGTATCAAATTTAGCCTCCCATGTAGCAAATTTTCCATTGGTCCACATCGTAGAAACAACCATTTTTATGTGTTAATTGCTAAGAAAATTATGAAGTACACGAGAAAGGTGCGGCAATGACCTGTTCTGCCCTCCACTTCAGCTCGACGGGTAGCTGGTTAATAGCGAGTTCGAGTGCCACAACTTCAAAGCTATAGACATTTGTTTCCTGGAAAAGATAGAGAAAATGAAGACATGACCTAAGGAGAAGTGCTGCCAAAATTCTACTCATGCGAAGGTGAAGC